GCGACTAAGCGACACTCGCAATAGCATCGATAATCGATAACCGCTTAATAGTCGTTTATCTACTGCCAGTCGACATTCGCAATAGGGGTGTTATTTGCGTGTATACTTAATGCTTTGCTCTTGCTTACACAGACTCCGGCAGCCATAGTTCCCAACTTGGTGCTTTAAGCACTAGATTTAGAGCTTTTTGAAAATTAAAACGCCAAAAAGAATTATTTAGTGCCTAGTGCCTTTTTTAGTGCTTTTTTTAAACTGAAATTACTTCGAGATAGTTAAAACCTGAAATAATTTGGAATATTTAAGGCTGTGGCAGCACTGAATTTACAAGAATCTACAAATTTAAACCACCACGATGGACCACGATTGATAAAAAGCTGAAGTTGCAAACCCACCTTGTTAAATTCTATTCGCGTTGAAAATGCTAGTACGCAATAAGTTAAGTATTTGTTTTTTTTCTAATTATTTGTACAAATTTTGTTTTTTTTTTTTACCACCTGAGTAAACACATGGGCCCGTAGTCATAGTCAAAATAAAGTCGACTTTAAAGTTAGTTGCAGCTTTTTTGACAGATATCCCATTGAAAATTATGTCAAAAAAGCTGCAACTAACTTTAAAGTCGACTTTATTTTGACTATGACTACGGGCCATGGTTTGTGGTGCTGAATCCAAATCTGGCCTCACAATTGCTCTAGCACTAGAATTTTGAGATATCCTAACCTCAAAGTTCCAAAAACACGGTTTTAGCGATATTTGATGTTATATAATGAAAACATCAAATTATTTGCTCATTTCTAATTAGGGCATCATTTTCGTTTGATGCGATTCGATTTTTCTTTCTCGAGATATACCAGTTTTAATGTGCAGTACTTCGGTATTATGTTATGAAAAAAGCACCCCTTGATTCAAAAAAATTTGGTGCTTTTAGTGTGGTAAAACGCTTTTTTTTCCAAGTTTTTGGTGCTTTTTTGAAAATCAAAAGATGGCAACACTGCCGGAAGCTCCAGAGGATTGTTGTGATTTCGTAAAACTCTCCGCTTCAATTTTTCTAACCGCTCTTCTTCCATAATTGAAAACAATAATAGAACGGAACTCATGTTTTTATCGCTATTTCACCAAAAAAAATCACAAATTAAATTATTTGCTATTTGCTACAAAATACCACAATCACAATGCAGAGGTGGAAAAAAACAGCTGATTCGAATATCGGATTTGTTCATGTTCGAAAAATCGAAATCCGATAGATTTTCGCGACACCAAATGAAACAGGTATCGGTTTTCATTGCCGACAAAAATCAATTCCGAGTCGGTTTCTGCGACATACCTGATTAACTTTACTAAAGGTCTGAAATCATGAAAATCCCTTTAAGGAAATGGCAGAATTGAACTTTGTTGCAAGTTCACATGGGAAATCTGCTTACGACGTGATTGGAGGAAATTTTAAGAGACTAGTAGCTAGAGCAAGGCTTCAACTCCTGATGTTGCAACAAATTCGTTGAAACCGAAACATCAACAACATCAACATCACTCATTGCAAAATAATATTAGACCACCAATGAAAGCTCCAAGGTTAGTTCTTTTATTAAACCAAGAAAAAGGAACAACACACCTTTCCTAAAACAAACCTAATGAGTAATAAAATTATAGTTAAAAAAAACAACAACACGCTTTTATTACAATAAGAACTAAAAGGAAAAAAATTATTTATTGATTTAAAGATTCGTTAAATAAGGATATGAAGTTCCCTAACTTAATGTTAAACTAGCTTAAAATAGGATTAAAGTAATTGGCACGTAGTCATAGTCGAAATAAAGTCCACTGAAAAATTAATTGCAGTAATTTTTTACAGGCATCCCATTGGAAACATACAGCACCCCATTGATAGTGCCTCGGGTGTACGAATTTGTTGTAACATCAGGAGTTGAAGACTTGCTCTAGCTGCTGGTCTCTTAAAATTTCCTCCAATCACGTCGTAAGCAGATTTCCCCTGTGAACTTGCAACAAAGTTCAATTCTGCCATTTCCTTGAAGCGATTTTCATTATTTCAGACCTTTAGTAAAGTTAATATCATTTATTCATATTGTTTTTGTCCTCTCTCAAAAATATACAATTTCATAAAATTTCAATGTCTACTTATGATATTGATTGAGCGTTAGACGATCTAGAGTCCATACGCATTAGTAGCTCATTACGCCCATTTGGGTACTTTAAGTTGACATTATAGACAATGTTGTTAGGTAAAAATAAAAATTTTTAAAAATGCTATAGTAAAAAAAAAAACAAAAACGTTTAATTTTTTTTTGTTTTTTATACGTTGCACATTAATGTAAAAAATTTATAATTAACGCCCATAATAAGACGGAAGAAATACAGTTTTTATCATTAAGTTTCGTTAAAAGGTTTCCAAGATACAGCACTTTAAAGAAAGGTATGTATGACGCTTTCTGAAAATTTAAGTCCCGTGTAAATATGCAACCCTACGTCATATCGGCAAAATAAGCTGCACGTATATTCATGTCACCTTAACCTTCTATCTCTTCAACTTTCATCCAAATCCTGAGAGGTCGCGCCCAGAGGTGACCGCGATGACATAAAATGCCTCAACTGCGAAGTTCAGTTGAATTGAACAAGTGAAAGTTCGGAAAACATCAGAAAGGGCATCCGTTTCACAACCAATTGAGATACTTTTTTAGACCCGTTCCGTAAGCAGACTTTAGTGGAAAGGCTTATCCGAAGAACTACCGGAAATAGAATCGCAAAACGGATTAAATATCCGATTTTTATACGGATTTTTTCCATTTACGAATGCGTGCACGGTAATTTTGCTGGCATTATAAGTAATTGGCAACAGTATTGTTTTAGTTGGTGAATTGATGAGTTTTGCGGTGGCTTTTACAAACACATTAGTAAAGATATAATTTTACATTTTTAACATTTTAATAAAAAAAAAATTAAAATGTTCTTTAAGTATCTATGTATAAGTCCACCTGCATCATAAACTACTAGGTATACAAATCGTGTAATTTTCGTTTTAAAAATTTCTCTTATCCAATTGGTTAAGAATTGAGTAATAGGAAGAATTGCATTTGGGCAAGATTCTATAGAAATTTAATTTGCATATTCAGACATAGCTTTCATAAATAATATTCAATGTTGAGGTAACTGCTTAGATACTACTGGTTTCATTTTTAAATCAGGGTTTTGACTCGAAAAATATTTAATAATTTATACGTATTTAAAATAAAATTTAATATTAAACAGCATTTTCTGTTATAATCCTTACACCTTTAAGAAGTTTTGTCCACAATAGTCGTATGTCAAAAGCGAAATACGAATTTATAACATACCATGGAAACTATTACATCATACTTAAAAAGCTTATTTTATTTCACTGAGCTCCATTTCACTGAGAAATCGCTTGCCCATCGCGCAGTTTTTTAATTTCTTTCGTGGCCCAGTTACACAATGATTTAGTTCGAGTTGCCTTTGAACGCTTGCCGTCGGCTAGAAGTTGAGTAATTGTGACATCATCTAGCATGGGATATAACCTTGGTCCAAACGCGGTACATAAATCACCAATAAATCCCGCAGCGCTAGCGACCATGGAGTCAGAATTTTCGCCTTCGAGAGCAATGCGTTTTATAAACGCCATAATATTGCCCAAATGAGGCTCCAAATGAAATACATCAGGGTTTGGCTGTTGCTCCACTCCCTTTAAACCTTGAATTATTCCTGTGTATGCTTCCAATACGCTTTCTCGCAATTCATTTAAATATTCTACCATGTCGTAACTATTAGCATCCACCTAAAAAATGTATTTTGGAAAATTCAAACATATTAAATTAGGGTTCTGATTTTTTTACCTGGAGTTGTGAAGCTGCATGCAGCATTTCCAGTACCACACTTAAATATTTTATAAATTCACTGCCAATGCTCAAAGCCATATCTCCAAAGGCTGATAAGATTTGTGGTTTGACATTGCGATGCAGTGTTGGTTCTGATAAGTTGGCAAGAAGCAGGGTCATTATTTCATCACAATATGGAATAATGAGTTGCTTTAGAGCTCGGCATATATCCCCAGTTAGACCAACAGCAGCGCAGCATACCTGATATTCCTGATGAGCTTTTAGTCCCATAAACAAAAATGGTTTAAATGCATCCATATATTTAACAAACTTGTACCCAAGTAATTCTACAAGAGTTGAAACGGCTAGAAATGCATCTTCCTGAACTCCTCCTGTTTTACCAGAACATGAGCTGAACATTGTAAGAAGTGCTGTCATAATAGCATCAGATATTTGGGGTGCGTCCTCTTCGCGAACTTTTCGAAGAACACTTTGCAAGGTAGCGCAAAGTAAAGATTGTAAGTCATTAAACTGATGACGGTCATTGTGACTAGCAATGTGGGACTCCATTTGTAATACTTGATTAAGTCGCTCGAGAATGACAATAGTCGTTCGTTGGACTACCAAGTAGCAATCCAGCGGTGAATTTTTTATCATGTCCATTAACGCTTCATACGCAGCTGCTCGTAGATTCGCTTGTGTGCCATCTTGCCTGTCCGTTGTCTCTAACAATTGAGTAATAATGTACTCAAAATAGGGGGATAAACAATATGTTTCTGGTGTTTCACCCTCATTCACTTCGGCCGCTTCATAAGCGGCATCGGATAAACCAATAAATGCCCAACAGACATTAGCAGCAACGCGAGGTTCGGCTTTCAATCCTTTGATAAAGCATTCGAGAAGGGTATTTAAATAATTTTTGTTTATCGCTGCCTCTGGAACAATCTGAAAATAGGAATACATTGGTATTGCATAAGAACATGTAATCTATCATAAATTATCTTTTATAGCATAATCTGAATTACCATTTTTATGTAAATGTGGATGGTTTTATTAATGAAATGCAGGCGTCTCTATCAATTAGAAACACCTCCAGCTTATTAACATAAATCTTAGCTTTACAAGTTGAGTGTAATATTGATTGCAATTTGAAATAAACAAAACATAAATTCCGTTATATTTTCGAATGATATAACTGAATATAAAGAAGTAACCATAAGTAGACCATAATCCCTATGAAAATTAATAATATAATATTTTGGCGCCTACACCTTTGCTAAGTGTTTGGCTGAGCTTCTCCTCCAATTTGTGGTGCGCGTCTAGATAATGTTACAAAAATTGAGGAACTAACAGTTTAGGCCGCCTACGAACGGCAAATGGATTTTATGAGAAGCTTGTTCATGACTGAAATACAGATGTTGCCCGGACCTTGGATCGAACACAGATCCTACGGAGTGGCATCAGTTTGGAAAGGTACGCAAAAACATAAATTACCTGTGTTAATTTCGAAGTGCTGGTTTTTATATGTATATGCATTAAAGAATATCGTTAAAAATCAATATTCAATATTGGCAGACACTTTCCGTGGATGGTAACATCCGCCAGACGCTTTAAGGTTCGCAAAAAAAAATTAGGGAAACTATCTTATATTCTCAGTGCCAAATTTTTTATATAATACTAAGGGGACTATTTTAATACCATTTGTGAAAAGCCAGACCAATCCGATGGGCTGAGCGCCCTCCCAGACACAATAAAAGAATTTATTTTTTTGAAATTTTAGCGTTTAATTAATATCAATAGGAACATAATAATTTTAGATTAGGGGATTACTATTTAGTATTATTAATTAATTAGTATTTTATTGACTCTTAATCTTCGCTGTCATCATACCACTTGCCACTGCAATTAAGTACTTATGTAGCAATTTCGTCGAGCAAATCACATTACGAGTATGTATGTATATGGAATAATGTATATATCAAGCATCCAAGCATTTTCAGTCCTGCCAATAATGGGTGCACCTCGGAAAAGAACCAGTATAATTTTAACTGGTAGGATGGCGATCAGTTCTCTTTCCTTATCGTAATAGCTTCACTGTCCACCGGCCCATGGTGCTGTAAAAAACCTTATTTGTATCGCACCCCTTCTTTATGTATATATAATTTATCATAAAATGTTGCAAATATATGTATACAACGGCGGTCAAAATAATATCACCAAAATTGAGAATTGTGTTGACGGCAATCTACGTTTATTTATTTTTGTTAATTTTTATTTAAATTATATGTAGTTCGATCTAAAACAGAAACCTCATAAATATTATTAAGAATATATGAATAAACATAAGTTGCAAATAATATCATTTTGAATTTTGGTGGTATTATTTTGATCGCAAGAACATATTACTTGCACTGGCCCTTAAAAATGGATTTCAAACCGCTGGGCAGAAAATGTGTATTTTTAGTCTGGATACTTCTAATATAAAATGTGGTAGCGACCTAATGAGACTTAGTGGTCCCGCACAGCTGGGGAAAATATGAAAATACGTGAAATATAGGATAAAAGGTTGTTTTATTCCCAATCCCATAAATTATAACTTTTCCAACAGTTTGCTTATATGCCTGATTTCAATTGAAAATTCTTATCTAGAAAGCTGTCAAAGTCCAAAATCAATTAAAAGTTTACAAAGTTGCAGAAATAATCTCTGTGGTCACAAGCAATAACCGACTAAGTCGACATAAAAGCTTAAACTGACGGTTGCGTTGATCCGGATTAATTCGGACTTAATTCGGAGTGCAATGGGGTATAGTCGTTGCGCTGGGTATGCAGTTACAGTTGCATGGCTATACTTAATCCCGACTCTTGCGTCCTCGTTCGCGCACTCTGGGCAACGTGAGCAACCCATGTGCGAGATGCGGTAACCAATCCGAGTGGAGCCTTGGGTCACGGCAGAAAGAGAGGGAGCTTCGGTGGGGCCACTCCGACTTATTCGGTTTAAGGGCTCGCTGAAGTCTGCAGCGTCTGTTCACCAGTAGGTGCGGCTGCAAGCGGGTGTCTGCTTGGAGCAAGCGGCTCGCTATATAAACGTGTATTTGGTTGCGAAACCACCCCCGTCCCAGCAATGGGTTGTGCGCTGGGCTTGGGACCCGCCACGTAAAAACCACTTCCAGTGAAGAAGCAAGGCAAAGCCTCGGATGAGACCCTCCCTTATGATGACGACCACGGCAAACGTTTAAAGGACTACGATTTGAGGGCATGCACCTGGAATGTCCGGACCCTTAATGGGGAAGGTGCCTCTGCCCGGCTGGTTGATGTCCTCGTAAGGACAAAAGCTGACATCACCGCCATCCAAGAAATGCGTTGGACGGGGCAAGGCAAAGAATGTCTGGGGCCTTGCGACGTCTACTACAGCTGCCATGTAAAGGAGCGCAAATTCGGAGTTGGATTTGTGGTGGGAGAGAGACTCCGTCGCCGAGTACTGTCGTTCACCCCGGTGGACGAGCGTCTAGCCACAATCCGCACCAAAGCGAGATTCTTCAACATCTCGCTCATCTGCGCCCATGCCCCGACGGAAGAGAAGGATGAGGCATCCAAGGATCTCTTCTAAGAGCGCTTGGACCGCACCCCCCATCATGATATCAAAATCGTGCTTGGCGACTTCAATGCCAGAGTGGGCAAGGAAGGGATCTTTGGAACCACCGTCGGAAAATTCAGCCTCCACGACGAAACGTCCGACAACGGATTGAGGCTGATCGACTTCGCCGGTCCCCGAAACATGGTAGTATGCAGTACTAGGTTCAAGCATAAAAAGATCCATCAAGATACGTGGTTGTCTCCGGATCGAAAAACGAGAAACCAAATCGGTCATGTTGTGATAGACGGAAGGCACGCTTCCAGTGTTTTAGACGTACGCACACTCCGAGGCCCAGACATCGACTCGGACCACTATCTTGTTGCAGCCAAGATATGCACCCGCCTCTGTGCAGCAAAAAATGTGCGCCCAAATATGCAAGGAAAGCTTAACGTCGAAAAGCTGCAATCACAACAGACAGCCAGCGCTTTCGCTACTCGACTCTCACACCTGCTCTCAGAGAGCACTCTTCAACAAACCGACATATGCGAGCAGTGGAACCACATTTCCCGCTCATTAAGTACCGCCGCCGAAGAAGTAGTCGGATTTCAGCGAGCCCGAAAGAACAACTGGTACGATGAGGAGTGTCAGGAAGCTGCAGAGAAAAAAGATGCCGCCTACAGGGCCACGCTGCGATCGGGCGCAACGCGCGCTATGTGGGACCGCTATAGGGATCTGAGGAGGGAAGCGAGACGTATTTGCCGCAATAAGAAGAGAGAGGCCGAAATACGTGAGTGCGAAGAGCTTGAAATGCTGGCCGACAGGAAGAATGCCCGAAAATTTTACCAGAGAATTAGGCGACTTATGGAAGGTTTAAAGACCGGGGCGTACTCCTGTAAGAACAATAATGGCGATCTAGTAACTGATGTCCAGAGCGTACTTAAATTATGGAGGGAACACTTTTCCGCCCTACTAAAAGGTAGCAGCACGGAAAGTTGTGGAGAAGAAGAACCCGAGCCCGCAGTCGATGATGACGGAGTCGACGTTCCACCGCCTGACTATGACGAGGTACGTATAGCAATAACGCGGCTGAAAAACAACAAAGCTGTTGGAGCTGACAGCCTGCCAGCTGAGCTATTCAAGTACGGCGGCGAGGAGTTGATAAGGTGCATGCATCAACTCTTGTGCAGAATATGGTCAGATGAACGCATGCCCGACGACTGGAATTTAAGTGTGCTGTGCCCAATCCACAAGAAAGGTGACCCCGCCATTCGCGCCAACTACCGCGGGATCAGCCTTCTAAGCATAGGCTACAAGGTCTTATCGAGCGTATTGTGTGAAAGACTGAAGCCCACCGTCAATGAACTGATTGGGCCTTATCAGTGTGGCTTTAGACTTGGCAAATCCACCATAGACCAGGTATTCACATTATGCCAAATCTTGGAAAAGACCCGCGAGAAAAGGATCGACACTCACCACCTATTTGTCGACTTTAAAGCCGCTTTTGACAGCACTAAAAGGAGTTGCCTATACGCCGCTATGTCTGAATTTGGCATCCCCTCAAAACTCGTACGGCTGTGTAAAATGACGTTGAGCAATACCACCAGCTCCGTCAGAATTGGGAAAGACCTCTCCGAGCCGTTCGCCGCAAAACGGGGTTTCAGACAGGGCGACTCCCTTTCATGTGACTTCTTTAATCTGATGTTGGAGAAGATAATAAGAGCTGCAGAACTGAACTGCTCGGGAACAATTTACTACAAGAGCGCGCAATTGCTGGCTTATGCCGATGACATCGACATCATCGGTAACAAAAACCGCGAAGTCTGTTCTGCCTTTTCCAAGTTGGATAGGGAAGCAAAACGAATGGGTCTGGTGGTAAACGACGACAAGATGAAGTATCTCCTGTCATCAAACAAACAGTCAGCACATTCGCGTCTTGGCACCCACGTCACTGTTGACAGTTAGAGTAGAGAAGTTCGTTTACTTGGGAACCAGCATTAACACCGATAGTAATGTCAGCATTGAAATCCAACGCAGAATCACTCTTGCCAACAAGTGCTATTTTGGACTGGGTAGGCAATTCAGGAGTAAAGTCCTCTCTCGACGTACGAAAACCACGCTCTATAAGTCACTCATCATGCCCGTGCTGGTATATGGCGCAGAAGCATGGACAATGACAACATCCGATGAGGCGGATCTTGGAGTGTTTGAGAGAAAGATTTTGCGGAAGATTTACGGGCCTTTACGCGTTGGCGACGGCGAGTACCGCAGACGATGGAATGATGAGCTGTATGAGCTTTACAACGATATGGACATAGTGCAGCGAATTAGAATACAGCGGAGTCGCTGGCTTGGTAATGTCGTTCGAATGGACACCGACGCTCCAGCTCTGAAAGTATTCAACTCG